CACCTTCCTCCAATTGCCTGCCATGGCCACCAATTTACTTTGTCATGTCCCCAGATCCTACCCTGCCCTCTGGGGCTCATATCATTTTGCCTTTCAAAGATCAAAGCAGAACAAAGACCCACATAAGGACTTCTCAGTGTGACCAATAAATCTACAGTCAGAAAGTTATGACTTTTCCCCCTAAGTGTAATCCAGTATAATGCTCAGGAATTGTTTCAAGTCTTGGTTGGAGCCACATCAGAAAGATCCGTCTGATAAACCAGATTTGGGCTATGGAGAAGGGTAGCCATGCTATTGACTCAACATAGAAATCTGGCCAAAAGCATTGAGACTTAAGCCAGCTATCAAGAGATATCCAGTTCTTTCCTCCACTCTTCTCCTTTCCAGCCCTTAACTTCAATGGCACAACAGATCCTCAAAAGGACATCTCTAGCCCAGTGTCAAAATGCCTAGAGTTCATTGTTCTTTCCTGGCTAAGTTCTAACATGCTTTAGAGGACTCTGCATCCTGGGGAGAAGATATTTCAAAAGCAACCTGTAACTGGCCTTGAATTGGGGGCGCATGGGAGTCCAGCTGCAACGTTAGCCCTCACTGTGGTAGCCAGAGGTATTCTAGTCCACACCCACATCACCATGAATGCAGTTGATGGCCAATCGGAGGAGTTAGGTAGAAAGTTAGGTAGGGTCCACCCTCCTTATTAATACTTGGATGGGAGATAGGTCACAGCAAACAGCCATGTAGGTTATGTGTTACCAAATCCAGGGAGTGTGGCTTACATGGGGAGTACCAGTCACACAAACTACAGGGCATAGGGTATCCCCACAAACCTGTCCCTAGCAACCCTCAGCTGTCTCACCTACCAAAGCCTGGCCCTGTCCTACAGGTCTTGAAAATGATCTCTGTGGTCTCACGGAGTTATAGTCAAAAGATGACGGCCTAGTTGTCACCTGGGACAAAGCAAAATCCCTGGAGCAGTAACCTTGTTTGAAGACAGAAGTTGCTGAGTCAGGCACACATGATGTCTGGCTTCCAATTCCCGCACAAACCCCACAGCCTTGTCCACAGCACTTGGGCTGTGCAATAGCTGATAAAAGAAGAGAAATTTCACAAGCCCCACAAAAGCCCAAGAATTCTCCTCAGTACTGTTGTTGTTATGTGCTGTCAAGGTGGCACCAAGTCACAGCTGACCCTCCAGGGAGCTCTCAGAGGCTGTAAACTGCACAGAGGAGACTGGCCATTTTTCTCCCATGGAGCAGCTAATGGGTTAAAACCCCATGTCTCAGGACAGCAGCACAGCTCTTTATCATTAGGCCACCAGAGCTCCCTTGTCCTCGGTGTAATACGTGCAACAATGAGGCTGAAGGAGCAGGTGCAGGGGAGGCAGGTAGACAAGAGCCTGGAAAATTTTGGTTCTGGGGCAATGAGACAACTGGGGAACTTCTTTCAGGGGATGTGAAAATGAACCACTCCAGGAAGATTTCCAAAAACCGCCAAAGTTAAAGACCTGTTGGCTTCTCTGTAACAACTTGACTTCTCATCTCTAGACTCCAGATTTGTGAGACAATAATTTTTGGTTGTTTTAAGGCACTGGTTTTCAGTGCCTTGTTAAAACAGCCAAAAACTCTATTCATGCTACTTGGAGTAGAATCAAGGGGCCACCTCAAGTTCTTGCTACTGGGAGTAGAATCAAGGGGCCACTTCAAGAGGCTTGGTCTGGAGGATAGTCAATAAGACTCATCTTATCACCCACAGATGACTTCTCATCCAGATGCCAGCAAGTAAGTGTCTGAGATGAGATTTTCAGGGTGTTTTGCCAGGGTCCTGATGTAAAGGCAAGGAAACTTGAGTCCCAGAAGGGTTGAGCAAATCAGCAAATGCCAAACAGTCAGCCAGGGACACAGAAAGTAAACCAATTCAGATTTATTGTGTGTCAACGATGTGCTATAACCACTCTATCATAGTGTCCACAGATTCCACCTGATTTAGTGTCCTGTGATTAAGTAATTTTCATTTTTCAGAGAAACTCAGAGTCAGAAAGAGTCCAAAGCTACACATACCTAATGAAGAACAGAGCCAAAGCCTTTTTCCCCCCCAAAACTTATATCAATATTAAGCCTCAAGCTCTTTCCCTTATTTCCAAACTTCCAGCCTTGGTCCAGTGACTCAAGTAAGAACAGAGGTACTTATCAAAAGCTCTGATGCCAAGAAACCAGGGAAAGAATCAAGTAAAATGCCTGGCAAATCAGAGCCTAAAACTAAAATGGGGGTTTTTTTGGTTTTTTTTTCTATAATTATATTTTATTAATTTTCATAAACATTTACAGATATTTTGGGTTTCCATTCATTCATTGTTACACTATTCTCTCTACCCTCCTCCCAGTTTGTTCTTGTCCAAATGCCACAGTGCTTGTCAAAGCCAGTTCTGATTAATCTCCTTTGTCAGTGTGTCCTTTGCCATTCCCTATCACTCCTCCCTGAGAGAGACTTCACCTGAGTCATAAGGAAAAGGGGATGGCGTATTCTCTTAGCTACTTCCTGCTGAAAAGGGACGCTGTGGGTTTCAGGGTGAAGATCTTCTCTCACTACTCTAAAGGGCCCCTTTGGCAGTAGGAAACACATAGACTATTATGGAGATTGATTTTGGAATTTAGATGCACTCTTATTGATTGTGCTTGGCCGTACATGTTCATATCCTTGAAGATGTATCATGGGGGTGTTGCAACCTAGAAGACACAAATTTGACTAACAAGTTATAAGTACATGAGTCCAAAAATTATGGAAAAGTAGAAGAAAAGATTCTTTCATTGTTTTACAAACCCTCCCCCAGGTCCCCTCCACCATGTAGCCCTCGCTCTAGTCTCCTGTGATGACAGAAATACCTAGTTATATATCTCTTTTAAACAGTTTTCTCCCTCCTCTGTTTCAGTGCAGTATACATTATTGAACCCATTTTGGTAGGACATAGTAACATACGGTATCTAAAAATGTTCAGCAGAAAAGAGATCAGGATTTTCCCTTTAGGTTCAAAAATCCAACTGTACCATGAAGAGGCTGAGAGCGAGGACCTTGCAGTGTGGTGTGTTTAAAAGACTGCACTATTTTTTTTATGCAGCACGTAGGGTCAGTGCCACAAAGCAGAATCAACTTGATGAGGCTAAGTTCTTTTTTGTTTTGTTGCTGTACTATTTATACACAAGCAATCACTCTGTAACACAAACTCTGATTTCCAGATTCCTACCACAGGGCACTTTATTATAAAAGCACTTCTTTACAGTTTCACTGTCTTAATTATTGTTTGTAAACTCTTTTCTTGTGATTTGAAGGAGTTTGCAAAGTGTATTGGCTTTTTATGAAATCTTTCAAACATGAAAAAAAAAGTTACACCATGCTTGTAATGCAGTTACTATAGAGTGATTGACCTCCTTAAATTAATTCTATTTTCCCTACACTTGTTTTTATTTCTAATTTACATTACGATCATATACGTCTGAAAAATTAAATAATAAAAAAGATTAATGTACTTAAAAAAAAAAGACTGCCATTTTTGGTTGGCTACACATGGAATATGAGTCAAGAGCATCATGTGAATGGCAAAAGTCCTACTACAACCTCTGACCGCACAAACAGAAACACGCTGCCCAGGCCAGGAAGGAAAAGGTCGTTTTGATCTACACTACTGTACTGCTGTAATCTCTGGTCAACTTCAAGAAGGACACAGACACGCTGAAAGCCAGGCAGAGAAAGGCAGAAACTGGAAGGGAAAGTTCCATAAGCAAAATAGAGGGGAGACAGAAATAAGGCAAAACCAATAAAGCTGTCTTTCAAATCTTTTCAGGGAAATAGATTCATTCTCTAGAAGAGATAGGAGAGCAATAACTATTTTCTGACAATTAGAGCTATCTATCGTCAAAGCAATCCCAGTATGTTATGTGCTGGGTTGTTATGCAAGCGTCAGAAGTTCAAATCTACCAGCTACTCTGTGGAAGAAATACTGGGACAGAAATATAAATGTGAAGTCTAGGAACCCAATGGAGAGCTATCATGAATATTAATTTAGTCAATGGCAGTAGTTTGGTTTCAGGGGATTTCTTCTCAAAATGAGCTGCTTCTGACAAGGTTACTACCACTTTGGGGAACTGGGTAGGTAGTAGGGGAAGGTTATGATGAGGACAGAGCTCCGGCCAGACCAACCCCAAGGATCCTTCAAACTCTGACAGCAACAGGACAGGAGGGCTGAGCCCACAGTGTTCCAAAAGAAAATCAAACCAAGTGAAAAGGTGCTTTGCTGGAGACACTGCAGCAGGGAGCCCAGATGGGGATGGGTAATTTCTCACTGATAGTGTCTAGAACTGCTGGCGCACACTGCCTGTAAAAGGCAGACTCACTTGTCACGGACTTACTGCTTACCAAGTCTCAAGGCCATGCACACTGTGACTGCCTCTACCCCGCAGGCTCTCCCACCACCCCCTGCTGCCTGGACTGCCAGTTCCATGACTCTGCAGTCGGGGCCTCACTCAGCAAACCGCCTGCTCCTTTGACACTTCCTCCTGGCATGCCCTAACTTCTGGGTACTCAGCACATCAATAGAGACGGCTTCACTTTTAAATGAGCAGCGTTCAAACACTCATCAGGTTAAATCAAGTGACAAGGGAAGATAAGTTGCACTTTCCTTTTTTTAACCTTCACTTATTCTTACCAAATTGCTACTTGAATTGCTCTTATATATACATAAGTACCCACTGTCTATAAATTTCCCCCATGGTTCATCACAGTCAGCTCCAACAGAGAGAGAGAGAGCGCGACAGAGACAGAGGCAGTGTCTGTAGAAACCAGCTTCCCCAGTTTCTTCTCAAATGATTCCTGCAGAAAGGTCACAGAGCCCAGCTAGGGGATACACTTAGTGAAGAGGCCACAGGAACAATGTCAGGTCACTCCCCTCCCCCCCCCCGGGTGTAGATCAACTTCCAATTGCAAGAGGACATAAGAAGGCTTCTGCTTACGTGAGCGGGAATTCTCAATCTGCTGTAATGTGCTCATAACTTTGTGAATGTTCTTCATGCTGGTGTCCTTCTGACTATACAGAAGTAGTCTCTGAGCATCTGAGAACAGGCGGGACACTCTGCAGGAAAACAAATAACTCAGTTAGGCCAGCTGCCTTTTCCAACAGGGCGACAGGTACCAACCACTGCCCCTGCCTGGCTCTAAGGATCCCCAAGGGCCAGCCCTGAACCACTCCCACTTCTCCCCACAGGTCAGGTTCACCAATTCTTTATACTCCCAGGCCTCCTTGCCCTGAATGCCTGCCCCCACATGCCCACATAACCAGATCTAAGCATACTTCCCCACGTCTGTCTGTCTGTCTCTATATATCTCCTTCTGTCGAACTCAAAGCTCAAACTCACTGCTGTGGAATCAACTCATGACTCATGGGACTTTGGAGTCTGTTTACATGGGAAGAGAGTGCTCATCCGCCTCCTGAGGAACTGCTGGAGGATTTGAACCAGCAGAGATGTGCCCCTGTTGGGCTCACACCCTATGGATTATACCACCGGAGATCTCTCCCCCAGCGCTGACTCAGCCAGTAGGCCCAGTGCCAAGGACCTAGGATACCAGTAGGGACCAAAAGAAATGTGCTCATTTCTTACAAAAGGAATATAACAATAACAAATAAATATATAATAATGAATTAATACTATTATTATGATGGATGATTGTAATCTTTCTAGAAGCACAGTTGTAAAAGATAATTTTCTTTATGTTTTCGTATAGATAGCGGAGCCCACGAAGAGTACAAAGCATAGGATCCTGTCTGTCCCCGCTGCAGCTACCTCAGAGCTGTCTTCATTCTAACTCATGCCACAGTCCGGTGCCTTCCACTCTTCCAAGTCACACTTGGCAAACATAACGTTTAATGTCGATAGTTGAAGCCCACAGTCAAGAACGCAAAAGCTAAGGAAGCAGCAATTTGGTCGTCAAGGAGCAGGCAATCCAGGGAGCTCTACCGTCAGCAGAGTGACACAGCGGTAGAATAGGGACAGTGACAAAAGTCAGCACACAGGATCTGAGAGTGGAGAGGGCAGAACTCTCAAAGCCCTGGCTGGCAAGTTCCTTGAGGGCAGGGATTCTCCACCTGGTTTTACAGTCCCAGGTCCTACAGCCAGCTCTTTCAGAGACATAATTTGCTGAAGGAGCAGACAAATGAATGAACAGAGTTGAGGTGCTGTGCCTTCTCTCCCCACTTACCACCCAGTCATAACCACATGATCGCTCCACCTGAGAAGTAACAGAGGCGTTTCCACAGCTTTAAGGCCTGGTTTTAATTCTTTCCTCCTTGTGTAGACTTTGTCACAGAAATACTTATAAAACCCACTTCTCTCAAATCCAACCATTCAAATTTCCCCAGAGGACACAAAGTGAAGGAAAAACATTAAGTGGCAAGTTTGGAAAAGGAAACCTGATCTGTTACTTACATGGATTTATTAAAGTTGCCAACAACTCCGGGAGCCTCACCAGGAGTCGGATAGCGGAAACAGGGGTTGTTGGCATTACAGATAATCCCCTGAACCCAAGGCAGTGTTCCCGCAGAGGGCATGGCTTTGTTTGGAAAGTGACCTGTTGAAATCAGGAAAAGAGAAACACAGGGAGAAGCATTACTTCAATTGTGTTACATGATTCTTGGACTTGGTTAGAGGCTTTTGTCTCTGTGGACTCCACACATACAGTGTCACACGTTCCTTACAGCCCAGAGATCTCTGGACTCATCTGACCCTGGTTTAGACACTGGCACCCCATAGCAGGCCTCTCTGACCACAGACAAGGTTTCTCAACCACTTGGACATCATCTATAGAGTGGAGGGTTCGTGATTCCAATCATGGAGCATTAATGAAAAGAATTCATTAAATCATGCAGGTCAAGTATCTGACAGGACGCCAAGACCTCATCTGACACTAGTTGACCACCCCTCCCCTTCCCTTCCTATCTGCCTTTTTTCCTTCTATCCATACTCTAGGCAGAGGCAACATCCAAAGCATAAAGTCACAAAATCTGATTCACTGTGGCCACCCTCTGCAGGGACTCTGGCCTATTGAACATTTACTTAGGTAATCTCTTTATCTCCCAGTTAATAGTTCAAGGAAAACCAAACAAGGCCCTTTGCCTAAATCAGCTGCTTCTCATTCAGAGAAAATTTATGTAATCCAACCCCATACACAGAAGACTAAGGGGTTCTTCTTAAACCCCTTAAACTCCAGGAGATGACATTAAAAGACTAAGGGATTCTTCCTCATAAACTCCAGGACATGACATTAAAAGCTGTGTTGGTGAAAGGCAGCACAGGGCAATAGAAAGTAAAGGTAACGAAGTCTGTACTGTGGTGGCTGAAACAAAGAACCTTCCCCATCAAATACAAGTAGAAGAAGGGCTTGGCACTGCACATACACAGGACGGGAATGAAACAGAGTAACGGGCTCCTACAGCCAAAGCAAATCACCAGGACTTTGGTGGACCTGGAAGAACTAAAAAACCTTTATGAAGAAAAATTACACCCTAGCCCTTTATTCTCAAGGACAAGACCCTGCTCACGCCCCCCCCCCCCCCCCCCCACCTTAGCTCTCAACTTTCTCAACCCTGTTCTTTCAGCCTATTCCCAAGCTGACAGTGAAAATAAGCAAATAAGGTTGCAAAAATGGACACCGGAATGAAACACCATGACTGTCAAGGTGATTCTGACACACGTTGATACCTTAGGACAGAGAACAATCTCACAAGTTTTCCAAGTTTGTCAATTTTTACAGAAGCACAGTGCCTAATCTTTATCCTAAGGAAACAGCTGGGTTTGAACCACTGATCTTTGAATTAGCATCCAAATGCTTAACCTCCCATGCCACTGGGGCTCCTCACAAGAACACTGGTGAACAGAAAAAGTCTCATCTGTCTTCTACAGGTACAAAAATTTCACAATATTTTGGAGACTGTATCATCTGGAGTCAGGTATTTGGGCTCAATTATTTCTCCAAAGTCACAAAGTTAGAGCCAGTATTCAAACAACCGTCAATTTATTCGACAGGACAACACTATTTTACACCACACCGTCTTGCCTGCTTGCTATAATTTCTCAGAGAATTGCCTAGCAGAACTGCATCTGATGTCCTGAGTACTTTCTGGAGTGGGGGGACCTCAGGGTAATGTGTAAAAGAAATAAATTTTACCTTTACTCATCAATCAACGAAACTCCTTGCTATTCCAAAAGATGTGAGAGAATTGCCTCGCATGCCCATAGATTAATAAGACACATTCATTAATTTCATACTCTTTTCTTTTTTGGTATAACAAAGAAGCCATAGCTGAAGGAATATTTTTTATGAATTTTGTGATTAAACCAAAGCAACAAAGAAAAAGCCTGAAATGTCTGATGTATGTCAGTAAATCAGCAGTTACATTATTGCCGCCATGTGTCATTAAGGGCCAACAGAAAGTTAGCCTATAGGCCAGAGGGATTCCTAGGTCACCTTCACAGGAGCACATCACCAGTTCTATGCTCCCTGTGAGTGGCTGCTGGGGTCATAGCACCAGCTGTTCTGGTTAGAAGCTGAGCATTTATCACTGCGTTAGTGCTCAGTTAAGGACAAAGAAGCCCTGGTGGCAGGATGGTTAAGAGCTCGGCTGCTAACTTAAAGTTCAAAAGGTCAGTAGTTCAAACCCACCAAATGCTTCTGGGAGAAACTACCCAAGTAACCTGCTCCCGTAGAATTCACAGCCTAGGGAGCTCTACAGGGGAGCTCTGCACACTGGGTCACTAGTCACAAATCAACCCAAAGGCAAGAATAACTACATGTGTGGTCAAAGAAATGAACTCTGAACCAGAACACGACTGAAAGACCCACCCCCCATCCCTTTTCTGGAAGAAAGATTTCAGCAAGTCCATGAGGGCTGGATGGAAACCTGAGAGAAACTGATTAGTGGCTGGGAAAGTGACTGAAGCAGTGGAAACGAGCTTATAGCTCATCTACAAGTAAATGTAGATCCTTTCAATTAGAACAACTGAGAACAGTTGTTGAAAACAATGACAACACATGTATGAGGCAAGTAAATCCATCCCTCATTAAGTGGCATGGTTAGGTCTCAAAGACCAACTGACATTATACGAAAATGCAGGACGTCAATATCAGATCACAAAATGGGTAATAACTACATCACTGCATGACTGCCAAACACTGAGAATGGCCCAGCCAGGATGACACGTAACTTCAACAGTTACACTCTCACCTCAGACCTCATCATTTTGTTACTGCCCGCTGTACACTGCTAGTGTGCAAAATAGTTAGTCCATTTTGCACTATCATAAATGTGAAACATCAGATAATGAGAGTCATTAAGTGAAGAGAAAGTGTACTGTTCCCATTTTAGAGATGAAGAATGGAAATACCAAGCATAATACAGCTGTGGCGGATAATACAAGCAGTGACCTGCCTAAATGCTGAAGCCCAGAAATTGTCAAAGTCTGCCTATGTGTTAAATCCAGGTTAATCGAGAGTGTGGGCTCTTTGGCACTGAACTGTTTCTATGCCCATTATAAAGGACATAATTAAAGTATCTGCTTAGGAGCCAGATGACCTGGGCTTTATTTCACCCCTATTATTTACTATATAGTAAATATCTAAAGATCTATAACTGAGAGCAAGCAGTCATGCCTTCTTGAGTCACGATCAAGAATTCATAAACTACTACACCACATGGAAGAATCTAGAACAAACTATATACTGAGTGACGAAATCAGTCACCAAAGAACAATTACTATATAAGACCATTATTATCTTCTTACTATGCAAAAAGTTAAGGAAAACATTTATACACAGATAGAAATCAATCTTTTAGAGATTTAACAAGGATGAGAAAGGAGGGAGTAAGGAGCAAAAATTAATAGAAAGTTGGGTGAGAGGAACAGCAATATACAATAAGGGCTTGATTAGACACTATAATTCATTACCAACTCTAATTAGTGTTATAAAACAAAATACTTATGAACGAATAAATGAAAATCAGTATGATTTACAGGTACTCACATGACTTTCTTTTTAAAAAAGAAAGCAAAAAATAATAAATTAAAGCAAATTATGATAACACAGGGTAGAGATCATAATCAAATGAAATAATATTACTCAAGCTATGAAGTTCTATACAAATGGTACTTAAAGCTATATATTCCATGCTCTTCAACTGTGTAAGAATGGCATATCATATGAAAAAGACTGGCAGGACCGGGTGATAGTGGTGTCAAAGCATGATTTTTTAAGGCTATTCTTTAATCAATACTTACTATACTACCAATAAAGTTATTTCATTTTTATGATTTAAAATGCATGAAAGAGAATGCAGTTGCTATTATAATTACTGTTATCATCATTCCTTACCACTCATACCTTTATCAAAAAACTGGAAACCTAAACTTTCGGTCTTAAAACTTACGCACACCCATGTTTATTGTGGCTTTATTCACAATAGCAAAGAGCTGGAAACCACCTAAAGGCCCATCAACAAAGAAGCTGTGGTATATTCATACAATGGAATATTATGCAGCACTGAAAAACAAGGAACTCATGAAATATTATTCAAAATGGGTGACCCTGGAGGACATTATGCTGAGTGAAATATCTTAGTCACAAAAGGACAAATATTGGATAGGGCCACTGTTGTAAAACAGGACTGACATCAGGGTTGAGGGAAGACAGAGAAGGAGGGGATGAATGATGCATACTGCATTGAAACAGATGAGGGGGAAAAAACTATCTAAAAGGCATACATGACTGAGTATTCTTGTCATGTCAGGAGTCCAGAATGAAAGTTGCACAGTGGAGTGGACTTGGGGGGAGGGATTGTATAATAATGAAAGTGTTTTACTTTTCAAGAGTGAACTGAGGGACTGAGGGTGGGCAGAGAGAAAAGTGCAACAATGATTGAATGGAAACCCTAAATCTCTGTAAACGTTCACTAAAATGTATAAATTTTTTTAAAAAACCCTTCTTTGTTTCTTAAGGTTAGCTTCCTCTGAAAACATAAGTCTAGCTTGTGACCAGTCTGTATTGTGCTGTTCAATTGGGAGTCTCACGCAGGACTCCAGAATACTCACATTCATGTTGTTCATAGGGTGGATAGCTCAACCGAACAGCGATCAGGATCAGGAAGATAAACAGAGGCCAGACCACTTCCAGGAACAGCTGACACTGAGCAGAAAACAACACAGAGCACTTTTAATTTTAAAAAATGCATCAATACCTAGAATTATTCAGCCTTGAGGAATATAAAGAAGAGTTAATTTAAAAACTGATCAACTTCCCCAGCCCCTCTCACCACTGTCCATTTGCGCTCTAATAACATCTAACTGTTTGTAGTTCTCCCTTTACATTTTATTCCAGATTTCTTTACCTTCTGAAGCAAGGGATGATACTGCCACTCATTTTACAAGCTTCAATCTGGCAAAACTGTATTAACCTCTCAGAAGACTTTCTCCTGCTTTCCCATAGTACCCAGTGCATAATCCTCTGGTGGAATTTTCCCCAAGTTCCTGAAATTGGCTGTTTCCATCACTGACTTCCACACCACACTGTGAGTATACCAAGAGCAGGTGCTCCGTCCTATCTTTACATCTCTGTTTTAGTACAAGATCACAAAGGTAATGATTACTTGTTGAAAGGAATGTCCAGGACAACATGCTGTGCTTTAAACACACTCTACCTCTGCTCCTAAACACACCCAATACTAGCCCCCTGAGGCAAAGAAAAGAAGTCCAAAGAATAAAAATTCATATTCAGTTCTGTATAGACATGTGTGCACCGTAGTCTGGAAAAAGTTGGGATTAAAGTAAATTTCTTTCCAATTTTGTCAAACGGGTTAGAAGACCATGAAATCTATAAGCAAGTTTGATTCACTGGTTAAAGCAATGAGACTTCTGTAAAGAAAACTCTGTTCAACATGTTACCAAGAGTTAAATAAGCAAAAGGATAAGGAATTGCTGAATTTAACGGAACCAGTGCTGTTTGGATAATTAATTTAATTTAAAAAACCAAACTCACTGCCATGGAGTTGATTCAGACTCACGGCAAACCTCTGTCAGGTATCCAAGCCACACAGTTTTCCCCTTAAAGAAAACTGACCATCCTTCTCTTGAGAGGCAACTCGTGCATTTGAACTGCTAGTGCTATTAGCCGAGTACTCACACTCATAATCCCACCAGAGGTCCTCAGACAAGTATTCACCCTGTCTGAAATCCCTCATCTCTTCCACGTCTTTCATTTCCTGATTCCAAGTTCTAATTAGAATGAACATCAAAAAGCCCAGGGCCTTCATGGTGTCTTGTGGCTAACAGTAATTGTCACTGTGGCTTTACAGTCACAATGCAAGACTGATATGTAATTCTCCCCTTTCCAAAACTACAGACGTTTCTGTCTTTGATCCTTAAATTCACATATTCTTACTGTAGAAATTTTGAGAATTAAAAAACATTATTGTTGTTGTGATATGTGCTGTCAAGTTGCTTGTGACTCCTAGCGACCCTATCTATGTACAATAGCCCTGCAACCTGCTCCATCCTGTGCCAACTTTACTGTCTCTGACACACCTACCCTCATTACCCCAGTCACTGAATCAATCCATCTCATCGATGGTCTTCCTCTCTTTCTCTGTCCCTCCAGCATTCCAAACATGACGTCCCTCTCCAAGGACTGGTCCCTCCTTGCAACATGACCAAAATATTTCAGACAAAGCCTCAGAATCCTTGCCTCCAAGGAGCAGGCTGGCTTCACCCTCTCTAGGAAAAAACATTAAGAACAGAAAAACTTAAATATAAAGAACCTTTACTCCTACCTCCTTGTGATTGATGAGCCAGTAAACTAAGCCAACAGTAATTCTCTATTAATGTTTTTGTCTTTTTTTTTTCTAAATATGACCGTCCTGAAAGAAGTGCAACTAGAGTGCTCCTTAGAGGCAAGGACGGTGAAGCTCTGTTCATCTCACACACTTCGGGCATGTTGCCCAGGAGGGACCAGTCCTTGGGAAAAGACTTCATGTGAGGAAATTTCAGAGAAAGAAAGGAAAACCTCAACGAGATGAAATGACACAGTGACTGCAACAATGGACACTAGCATGTTACAGATAATGAAGAAGACGGGGCAAAGTTCAGATCTGTCATCTATAGGGTCATTAGGAGTCAGCATCATTTGACAGCACATACCAACAACAACAATAAATACACTGCACTTTAAACTGCACAGTATATATAATTCTGTCATTTAACATTATACTGGGGGCATTTTCCATGACATAATGTTGTTGTTTGTTGTTGTGTACCATCAAGTTGGGAGTGACCCATAGCTGACCCTCCAACAGGTTTTCAGAGACAAGTTAGTCGCACAGGATGAGACTGCCCATCCTTCCCCAAAGGAGCAGCTGGCACATTCGAACCACGTACCTTTGGATTGCAGTGCAGATTCTTACCACTAGGCCACCAGAGCTACCTCATGATACAATACAGTCTCTTTAAACACAGCTTTAAGCGATCATTTTTTATATTCTTTTTTAGCTATAGAATTTAACTTTTCAACTCTGACTTGAAACTTCAGAATGTTTTGATTTTTAGTCATTTTTACTTACTGTGGCATTTTAAATAACTAGTTGTAGATGTTCACGTGGTTTACATTAAACTTTTAAAAAATGTTCTTTTGGAAGGAAATACAACAAAAGAATAACAATGGATGTATTAGAATGATAACATGAGGGATTTTTTTCACATCTTCCTGTGTTATTTAAACTTTCCATAATGAACATTTATTACCTCTCCAACAGGACAAACAGGAGGGAAAAAAATAAAAACAAAACAGAAAGCACTGTTACCTTGTTATTCTGAAGAATGGTTTACTATAGATAGCACACCAGGAAATAAGTAAGACAAATGAGCCCTTCTCTGGAAGAAAGCACACAGACAAACGAGGTCCCCAAGATCAAAGATGTGGCTAGACTTGCTAAATATTCCTGTAAATAACCCCAAAGAGGAGCACACACTGAAACTGCCAAGCTTGAAGTGACAGTGGCCTTTTCTACCAGCTGAGTTCCCCAGCTCCCTGGTGCCTTTATCAGCACTTGGCACAGCAGGGGCCCTATTTATATAGGAGCTTCTAGCCTCGTGTCACTTTCTTCTCACTAAGCCTGCCTCATGCCATCGGCTTAAAAGATGTTTGTTGAGTAATGAAATGGCGTTTATAAGAAATTGACGATAGAAATAAAAATCTGTAGAGTCCTTTGAGAAAGCAATTTGACAGTCTGTGTTCTAAAGACAAGGTTTATCCCTTTTGACCAAGTAATATTTCTGGGAATTCAAGCTACAGAATGATATTTAAAATATCGAAAAGCTGTATGCGTGAGGTTATTTATTAAGCCACTGTAACTCCAAAATACTGGAAACAATGTCATTGCATAGCAAAACGGAAATTACTGTGTTAGAGCACATCCTCTTGACAATATAAAGTCGTTACAACATTGTTTATGAAAAACAGAACATGTTCACCACTACATAATACTAGTATAAAAGGGCAGAACACAAAAAACATCCCAAGCTTACAACAAAATAAAACCTGGAACATGAGAAGGAGTAACAGAATGCATATCTAATTGCCTCCAGGGACAACTGCCTCCTTTGTCATAAAACTGGAAAATTGTGGTAGTCCTAACTAGCATTACTGAGCATTTTCAATCCAAGATTCTATGGCAGAATTCTTATCAGAAAGTATAAAATGCAAAAATGTCACAGTCCCATACATCCAGTTTAATCCAGATTTTTCTGGAGTCATGAAGACTGGATGAACAACCAAAAAACAGGGCCTTGAGATAATCTTTACATCAAATATATTCTCTACATATTTTTTTTTTAATGTGTGTGTGTGTGTGTGTGTACCATCAAATCGGATCTGACTGGTACAGAAGGAGACTGTCCCTCCTTCTCCAGCAGAGCATCTGGTGGATTTAAACAGCTCACATCGGGAAGTGCAGTGCAGTTTCCTGCCACTAGGCCACCAGAGCTCACCAAGAAGTCTTCCTATGTTAAACCAAACAGTAATTTAGCTTAATTGCTCTGCCTTGAGCTATGCACTCTTTGAAGAGCTATCTATATGAGATCAAATTGACACCAACTTGAAAGGTTAGAGATGAAATGTAGGGGGCAGCTGATTTCTGTTATTGGTGAAAGTGGCTGACCACCTTGAAGAACATCCTCAATGTCACCAGAACTGCAATTAACAACTCCTCCACTGGTGGATGTTCTGCTGTACTCTCTTCTCAGCAACAACAAATGAATCATTAGAAAACAAAAACCCAAAATATCTCACCTATCAAAGACGGCAAAGAGAAGAATTTAAAAAAATTAACGATAATTATAAATGAATTCAGGAAAAAGAAATAAGCTTAAAAATTAAATGAAGTAAGATAAAGAGTCATCCAATTTTGAGGCTCTAAAGTATCCCTTTACACAACAAATAGTGTTTGTTTAAAAGATGATTATTAAATAAGGAAAAAGCCAGTATGTACTAAGAACATTATATACAAATTTTTTTTATGAATTTTTCTCAGAACCCTGTCAGGGAAGAACTACTGTTATCTCCATTTATATGAAAAAGGGTAAGGTTCAAGGAAGAGTAAGTCACAGAGCTAGTCCGCAGCAGATGAGATTAGAGGCCACTTCAGCTAAACTTTGGAGGCCATGTCCTTAATCGGTGTTTCAAATGAAATTTTCCTTAGCACAGCATGAGGCCAGAGAGCAAACGACCCCCCAGGTGGTTGTTACTAGGTGGCCTCAAGTTAACTACGACTCATGTTGTTGTTGTTGTTGTTGTTATGTGCCGTGGAGTCCTTTCCGTTTCCAACTCATAGCGACCCTATGCACAACAGCCCTAAACCCTGCTCTATCCTGCGCCAACCGCACCGCCTCTGAAACATCCATCCCGATTACCCCAGTCACTGAATCGATCCATCTCATAGGGGGTCTTCCCCTCCTGCGCTGTCCCTCCACCCTCCCAAGCATGATGTCCCTC